TCGCACGGCAGCAGCGGGAGGCCCCGTTAGCTAAAGTGGTACCTCAGGTTAAGAACAGTTTCAGGTTAAGAACAGGCATCTGGAACAAATTAAGTTCTTAACCCGAAGTACCACTGTAGTGATTAGAGTGTCGGACATAAATCTGGGAGATCAGGGTTCAAATCCCCACTCGGTCATGAAGCTCATTGGGTGACCTTGGAGTCAATCACAAGTTTCTTAACGTACCTCACAGGGTTGTTGTAGGGCTTAACTGAGGAGATGGGTGAATCATGTACAGTGGTACCCTCGGGTTACATACACTTCAGGTTACAGACTCCGCTAACCCAGAAATATTACCTCAGGTTAAGAACTTTGCTTCAGGATGAGAACAGAAATCGCGTGGCAGCAGCAGCAGGCCCATTAGCTAAAGAGGTACCTCAGGTTAAGAACAGTTTCAGGTTAAGAACAGACCTCCTGAACGAATTAAGTTCTTAACACGAGGTACCACTGTACTCCTTCAGGAAAAGGTGGATTCAGTAAATAGGCTTATCTGCTTAAGAACGCTGGAGGGCCCAGCCAGATGGAGATGTCAGTCATCATCCTAGCATTCCAGAGATCTATGTGGTTGCAGTTGGACTTGCCTCAGTCACAACATGCGCCTGGCCCCTGGGGAATTTCTAACACTGGTCTTCTTTGTAAATGTGCCCAGAGGTTGTCAGTCCTTGACTGGCGCAAGACGCCAAAGGCAGGCCAGCTCTTCTCTTTTGCCTCGCCCAGTTGCCCCGCTGCGTCTCTCTGTTCCATGCTGTGCTTTATTTACAGCGGCAACACAGGGCTGGCTTGTGGAAGAGCCATGAGTTTCAGATCCGCAGCGGAGATCCCGTCCGCTTGCCAGAATAGTGGCTTGTCGAAATTCATCCGCAGAAGCTTCACAGACGCCCAGCTGTTTGATAGAACGGACCACAAGGGTAGATGGTTGGATATTAAAGGGATTATTTTATTTTATTTTCCCCCCATTTTTCTGTTCAGAATTCCCTCCCTCTTGCCTGGGCAGCGTGAGGAAGGTGAATGAGGACACAGAAGACGGCAGCCAAGGCTTTGCTGGCCCATTCCCCTGACGGAAAGAAGCATGTGAAGCTCTGACTTGTGTTGAAATCTGGCTTGGCAAGGAGAGGGAGATGTTTGTGTAACATGCTGCTGAGGAGTCATAGCAGGACCTCAGTCACAGAGCCTCCTTCACCTTTGCCCAGAGTTGTCTCGCATTTAAACACAACTCTCTCTCAATCTCCTGGAAGATTAAATAAGGACCCACCCCCCAAGAAATCTGCCATGGTGGTTGCAGTCCTGCTCTTTTTATTATTAGAAACTGAGGGAAACAATTAACAATATGCCTCTTGCTCAGTGTTAGAAACTCAGATATACAGTTGCACCTTGGAAGCTGAACGGAATCTGTTCCGGGAGTCCGCTCGACTTCCAAAACGTTCGAAAACCAAACCGCGGCTTTTGATTGGCTGTGGGAAGCTCCTGCAGCCAACCAGAAACTGCGGAAGCCCCGTCGGACGTTCGGGTTCCGAAAGAACGTTCGCAAACTGGAACAATCGTTTGGGATCTAAGGTATGACTGTACAGTGGCACCTCAGGTTACATACGCTTCAGGTTACATATGCTTCAGGTTACAGACTCCGCTAACCCTGAAATAGTGCTTCAGGTTAAGAACTTTGCTTCAGGATGAGAACAGAAATCAGGCTCCGGCGGCGTGGCGGCAGCAGGAGGCCCCATTAGCTAAAGTGGTGCTTCACATTCAGAACAGTTTCAGGTTAAGAACAGACCTCCGGAACAAATTAAGTACTTAACCTGAGGTACCACTGTAGTGATGTTTCGCACCCTAAATATCTTCTCCTGGCTTGGTTTTGCCCTTCAACTCTGATCATTCCTTCTGCTTGCCTGGATGGAAGACAGAGAGGCATGTGTGAGTCTGCATAGAAACAAATCTACTGTACAAAGGTTATTTGTATATGTTGCTTCACCTTCTTTATCCTCTAAGGGACGCGGGTGGCGCTGTGGTCTAAACCACTGAGCCTTTTGGTCTTGCCAGTCAGAAGGTTGGCGGTTCGAATCCCCGCAACGGCGTGAGCTCCCGTTGCTCTGTCCCAGCTTCTGCCAACCTAGCAGTTCGAAAGCACACCAGTTCAAATAGATAAATAGGTACCACTGCGACGGGAAGATAAACAGCATTTCTGTGCACTCTGGCTTCTGCCACGATGCTCTGTTGTGCCAGGAGCGGTTTAGTCCTGCTGGCCACATGACCCAGAAAGCTGTCTGTGAAGGAGAAGGTTGCATAAGTCTGCGCAGAAGCTAGCTTGCTGTACAGAGGTAAATCAGCATCCATGTCTCTTAGGTCCTTGGACAAGGGGAAGCCAGAGACATCTGCCTCTCCTGCCTACCGCCTGCTACTGCTAGCTTAAGAGCTAGATCAACATTTCCGATGTTAAAGAAATGAGCCACTCCAGCGAAGAGGAGTCCTTTGGGTCTCTAATGAGGCCATTCTCTTTTTGGGAGCTGTGAACCTCTCGTCCTCTGCAGAGAGCGAGAGTTGGGAGTACAGCATGAGCCACGAAGGCGATATAGATAATTAGTGTGTTCTTTCTGGTGTGTAATTGTAAGTAATTATGTCATTAATGTAATTGCAGGCCATAACTTTTTCCCCGGGCTTGAAGAACACTCTGCTTCAGGCCACTGAGGGTGGGGAGGAAAGGCTCGTTGACATGTACCAAAGTGACGCCCCTCAATTCTGTCATTCTGGGCAGGGGAGGAATTTCAATCTCTTTACCTCTCAGTGCCACGCATACCAGTATTTGTTTGCTTTCCTTTTGGGGCAATGTTTGTTTGTTTCCTTTGTGGTATACAGTGGTACCTCGGGTTAAGAACTTAATCCGTTCTGGAGGTCCGTTCTTAACCTGAAACTGTTCTTAACCTGAGGTACCACTTTAGCTAATGGGGCCTCCCGCTGCCGCCCTGCAATTTCTGTTCTCATCCTGAAGCAAAGTTCTTAACCCTTATGAGGTTAATTAACCCTTAATGCCTTATGAGGAACGGCTAAGGGAGCTGGGCATGTTTAGCCTGGAGAAGAGGAGGTTAAGGGGTGATATGATAGCCATGTTCAAATATATAAAAGGATGTCACATAGAGGAGGGAGAAAGGTTGTTTTCTGCTGCTCCAGAGAAGCGGACACGGAGCAATGGATCCAAACTACAAGAAAGAAGATTCCACCTAAACATTAGGAAGACCTTCCTGACAGTAAGAGCTGTTCAACAGTGGAATTTGCTGCCAAGGAGTGTGGTGGAGTCTCCTTCTTTGGAGGTCTTTAAGCAGAAGCTTGACAACCATATGTCGGGAGTGCTCTGATGGTGTTTCCTGCTTGGCAGGGGGTTGGACTCGATGGCCCTTGTGGTCTCTTCTAACTCTATAATTCTATGATTCTAACCCGAGGTACTATTTCTGGGTTAGCGGAGTCCGTAACCTGAAGCGTCTGTAACCCGAGGTACCACTGTATTTGTGTCTCCCCTTACTGTAAAGTGGTCCCAAGCTGGTTTAGAATTAAGCTGAAACCTAACAACATTGGCCTGGAAAAGACTTACTGTGTAAACGGTGTGAGAGAACAGCAAGATGTGGGCTATCTTAAACCTCTGCTGCCTTAAGGGATCTCTTTGGGGGAAGAAAAGGCTGAGGAGTAAACCCTACACAGCAGAGTCGCTCGCATGGGGCCTTGTATGCATCCTTCCAGCAACACCTGCAGCCAAGCCATAGCTGTCAACTTTCAGATATGAAGATAAGGGATCAGCAGCCTCACCTGTCCCGGGGACAGTCTACGGGATATCTAACAATCCGGGATAGCACTGGGAAGCAGCGGGAAACGGCACAGGAAAAAGGGAATTTCCCGCAAAAAAAGGGAACGTTGACAGCTATGAGCCAAGCTGGTGCCAAACGTATTGCTCTGCTTTCCTTTGGACCACATCAGCGAGTCTTGTCATTTGGGCAGGACAGGACCTTCATATGCATTGCCCAGGCTTGCTCCTTGCAGAGGTCACTTTGGTGCTGTTTGAGGTGCACTCCGTTGTCTCTCAAGGTGTACAGGTGCCAATGGAATTGCTTCAGAAAGCGAGCACTTTGAATTTGGGCCGAAGGGTGGATTCAGCTATTTCTAATGCGGCGACCCCGGCTCTTAAATAATGAGTTCTACAGCCCTCCTTGCGAGCCTCGCTACCAGCCCATCTCAAATTGCTTTGCTCACTTTTCAGGAAGAGCTACTACCTAACAGCTGTGACTAAATGAGCCCCAAATTTTTGCCTGTTGGAGAGACCTGCATGTCTCTTCTGTATAGACACTGCGCTGTGGTTTCTGTGGCTGGCTGGGTGTTGCAAATACCCACCCTCACCCCAGACCTAAGAAAAGTAGCAGAGAGTTATTCTGCCATGGATGAATAATGGCCCATCCATTCATGATTACCCGAGACCCTTCTTTAGACCAGTTTGAGTTTGATAATGGTATAAAGGCAGGGGTTGAGTATAATGAAAGCTGTTGATATTACAGCGACCTTGAGTATCTCCTTGTTGTTATAATGGTGGCCACAGGGATGGGGTTACAGCGGGGGGGAAACACAACATCGGAATCACAGACTTGTTGAGTTGGAAGGGACCAAGAGGACAACTCCTTTCTCCTTCTGTGTTGGAACTCCTATTTGGGGACTTCCCTGGCTTTTTTCTGGCCCATGTAGGACCTCTAGATAGTTAGCCTTGGTGAAGACTTGACGTTTTCATCCCCCAAAAAGTTTTTGATTGAGTTTCCCTTGAAATGAGGCTGCATTTTAACGTTTTAATGTTGTATTTTAATCTTGTTGTTTAAGCTGTATTTCAATCAATTGTTTTTTTATGTGTTGTTAGCCGCCCTGAGCCCGATCTTGGCTGGGGAGGGTGGGGTATAAATAAAATTTATTTTATTATTATTATTATTATTATTATCTTTCACCCAAAGTGGGGCTCGAACCCACAATACTGAGATTAAGAATTTCATTCTCTGCTGCCTGAGCTATCAATGGAGGGGTCCTCATTAGAGGTGCCAGTGAGTTCAAGGAAATTGGGGCAAAACGCGGGTAGCGCTGTGGGTTAAACCACAGAGCCTAGGACTTGCCAATCAGAAGATTGGCGGTTTGAATCCCTGCAATGGGATGAGCTCCCGTTGCTCGGTCCCTGCTCCTGCCAACCTAGCAGTTTGAAAGCACGTCAAAGTGCAAGTAGATAAATAGGTACCGCTCTGGCGGGAAGGTAAACGGCGTTTCCGTGCGCTGCTCTGGTTTGCCAGAAGCGGCTTAGTCCTGCTGGCCACTTGACCCGGAAGCTGTACGCCGTTCGGCCACGACTGGACCTAATGGTCAGGGGTCCCTTTACCTTTACCTTTACTACATTTTCAGCCATGTTGCTGCTCTCATCTTGCAAGTGTGTTTAATAGCAGCCTTGGTGCATCTTTGGGGAGGTAGAGGAGCTTAGCGATGGGATGATAGTCCAAATCCTTCCCGTGTTTTGACTCCCTGCTTGAAATGGAGACAGTCTCTGAAGTCACCTTGGGTCAGGCCCTTTATATAGACCTTGCAGAAGGCCTGCTAGCTTCTGCAGGGATCTGCAGGCGACCGGGCTTATTCGTTGTGCACAAACGTGGCTGCTTCCTTGTGGCACTGAAGATTGTAGGAGGCTTTTTTAGGGTGCAAACCTGAAGATGGATTCTCCAGCGTTTGTTATGTAGCCGGCATTGGCTTCCCTAGAGCTTTGCAGGATGGAGAGAGAGAGGGAGCGAGCGAGCGAGCTAAACGCTTGGCTCGTTTCAGCCAAACAGCATTTTTTCCAGGAAACTGGTGCCCACTGAGGCTATTTCCATGTCGGGGAAGAGTGCTTATTCCAAGTTGACGGCGCTGGCAGCTGCGTCCACCAATGTTTGGCGCGAAATGAGCTCTGCTCCTGCCTCCCTCAGACCATGAATCTTCCAGGTCATCTAAGTTGAGCGCCGAATAAATTGCATGCTTCGCTTTTTGCTTTTTTAAATGGCTTTGGCCCTTCTGAAGGTTTTGCTTCTTTGCTGTTTAAAGGGTGATGGGCATGAGAAAACAACCACCACCCAGTTCTTCTTCCTAAAGAGAAAAGGAAAACTGTTCTTTCCCCTGCAAATAGAACCATTTCTCTCACAGTTGCTCGAAGCCTCTGTTCTTAAAACGATGGACTGGATGTATCCTCACCACCTGGCATTTCAGGTGCCAAGACCTTTTATCGTCATGTTTAAATGCCAGTAAATGGGATTTCCGAGCCAGAGGTTCCAGGAGAAGGGACACACTGGCGCTGGTGCCTGTTCCTTTGATTGCTACGGGGCTGGGATGTTCTGAAAGAAAGGTCTGTTCTGTTACGCACAGCTTCTGTGAATAATGGGGATGTCGCCTTAAAATTAGGGGTTATCTGGCAACTTTAGGCTGTGCACCAGCCGGTCCTTCATTTGCCTGCCAATTGCTTGAAATGTTTTTTTGACTCCTGCTGCTGCTAGTACTTCTCAGGGGCAATGTCCAAGTGGTGTTCAGCATTTGAGTTAGGCTGAATTCCTAGCTCAGGTGCTAAAAGGAAGGGCTTCAGCTCGGGGACACAGCATTCGGAAGTCACTTTTTATTTTTAGTGCCTCAAGTTTCTAGTCCAGGCATAGGCAAACTCGACCCTCCAGATGTTTGGGGACTACAACTCCCATCATCCCTGTCCACTGGTCCTGTTAGCTAGGGATGATGGGAGTTGTAGTCCCAAAACATCTGGCGGGCCGAGTTTGCCTGTGCCTGTTCTAGACAATAAGGTTGTGACTTGAGAGCGTGGGAGCAATAAATGCTGAAACCTAAAAAGCTAGAGATTTGGCAAAATTTCATCATCACCATCATTAGCCAGCTCAGACAACCTTGTGATTGAGAGGCAAAAGAGAGATGTTTGAAATAAACTGATTTGAACTCCCTCAGGAAGTGGTGGATTCTCCTCCTTTGCAGGTTTTGAAGCAGAGGTTAGATGACCATCTGTCATGGATGCTTTAGCTGAGATTCCCACATTGCAGGGGGTTGGACTAGATGACCCTCGTGGTCCCTTCCGATTCTAAAATTTGATAATTCCTAGGTTTAACCCCCAGCAGCCCAGGTAGGGCTGGGAATGTCCCCTGCTTGAAAAGCTGGCCAGCTGCTGCCTGCCGATCAGTGTCAACATTATTGTGCTAGATGGTCTGACTCTGCATAAAACAACTTCTTATATTATTAAACATGCTTGGAATCATAGAATCATTCCAGGGGCCATCTAATCCAACCCCCTTCCAGTGCAGGAATAGTTTGCCCAGGGTAGGACTCGAACCCACGACCCTCCTGTTATTAATCTCATGCTCTACCAATTGGAAGAGGTTGCCATAATAGATTAGGCATGGCTTAACGCTCCTCCCAGGGACACGGGTGGTGCTGTGGGCTAAACTAGGACTTCAGAAGGTCGGCAGTTCGGATCCCCCGATGGGGTGACCTCAGTCCCTGCTCCTGCAAACTAGCAGTTCGAAAGCAAGTCAAAGTGCAAGTAGATAAATAGGTACCGCTCCAGCGGGAAGGTAAACAGCGTTTCCGTGCACTGCTCCAATTCGCATGACCCGGAAGCTGTACTCCGGCTCCCTCGGCCAATAAAGCGAGGTGAGCACCGCAACCCCAGAGTCTGCCACGACGACCTAATGGTCAGGGGTCCCTTTACCTTTTAATGCTCCTCCCAGTAGTGCTGTAAAGTAAGTCAGTAGCCTTTCAACTGCGTGTTGCGTTGAAAGAGACTGGACAGAGTCTCTTTTTTTAATGCAACAGGAATCCAAGAGAGCTTTCTGGGTCCGTCTTCCAGGAAACCAGGGGTTGCGCTTCGTCCTTGCTCTTTTAGCTACTGCCCTTATGGCAGTTCTTGAGCGTCTGAGGAAGGGTCTTGCTTTGAATGCAGAAACCCCCAGGCTCAATCCCCTGACAGGCCCAGGTTGCAGGGGGGGGGGGAGACCCCTGCGTGAAGCGCTGCCAGTCAGTGCAGACAGTACTAAACTAGATGGATCAATAATCCAAACTGGTAACTTGCAGTTCTCTGTGCTTGTATTGTGACAGGGGCTGAGAGGGCTGCTATTTCCTGCAAAAACTTCAGGACAAAACGAACGCTGTTAGCACTGTTGATTTGATTTTTTAAAGCCCTCTGCTGCTTTTAAACATTATAGACTACTGAAGTAAAAAGAGGACCCAGGGAATTTTGTGGTTTTGCCACCCCCCCCCCCCGCTTTCGTGGTGATTTTGTTCTTAAACTGGAAAGCCTACTGAGAGGGAGGTTATTTTTCCTGTTCAAGGTAATTACATGCTAGGCTGCCATTCTTTGGCTTCTGTTGCAGCTTTCCTCTCTCCCCCCCTCCCCAATTGCTGGGCTGGCGGAGGGGGGGCGGCGGCTTGTCTTCTATCTCCCTTGCCTGGCAGCGAGTGTGTGCGGAAAAGACGAGGCAGCCAAATGTTGGGTTTCGAAGCACAGAAGAGGGCCTTGTGATTTAGCTGAATAATTATTGCAGAGTGTGCAGATCCAGCTGCGGTTAGTTTGGGTTGCCGCGCCGTCCCCTTTGGCCTAGCAACAAGAAGTGCTCAATTCCAGGGCCAGAAGTTGGCAGATTTATCCTGCACCCCTTCCGCTGCCTGGCTCCCTCTTGGGGGGGGGGGAGGGGAGAAAAACACCAATATCTATATTTGGCTTTGGTTTTGGAAGAGTGGCTTTTGATTCTAAGGGTTCTTTTGGGTTTTGCAGTAATCTCTGCATGGCAGCCGACGAGATGGTAAGCAGCGACTCAAAGCACCAACCAGTATTTATATATATACAAAGCCTGGCCAATCCAAAAACACTGATAATAATAATAATAATAAAAATAATATTCTACCCATCTCACCGGGTTGCCCCAGCCATTCTGGACGGCTTCCAGCAAACAAAAGCATCAAACACAGTAAACTTGAAGCATTCAAAAACTTCCCTATATAGGGCTACCTTCATATGTATTATTCTTTTAAATTTCAAATTTCTATGTCGCCCTTCATCCGAAGATCCCAGCGTGGTTCACGACATAAAAATACAAACTGAGAACACAAAATAACTAATGAAGCAAGAACAAAAACAAACCAATAAACTGTATCCCATAAACACATTAAAAAAATATATTATTGGAATTTTATTTACAACATAATATAACCCCCACCCCCCCAATACACAAATCCATCTTCATTAAATGTGAACATACAGTGAGCATAACGTACAACGACACAAACAACCACATAAAAGACTTCCTTTATACTGTATCTGGCCTCCTTATTTACTTCTTATAAACTGTTTCCTTTATGAATAATTATTAAGATTTTTCTGATTATAACTTAAATATCCACAAAGGCCATAAACACATTGAAAAAGCCATATAATGTTCAATCAGCACAAGGCCTGGCTATAGAGAAGCGTTTTCACCTGGCGCCTAAAGGTATGCAATGAAGGAGCCAGGCGAGGCTCCCTGAGGAGAGCATTCCACAATCGGGGAGCCACCGCAGAAAAGGCCCTGTCTAATGTTGCCACCCTCCAGATCTCTCGAGCAGGAGACACATGAAGAAGGGCCTCAGAGGATGATCTCAGGGTCTGGGTAGGTTCATATGGAAAGAGGCGGTTCTTGTGGTATTGCGGTCCTGAGCCGTTTAAGGCTTTATAAATCAAAACCAGCACTTTGAACTGGGCCCGGAAACTAATTGGCAGCCAGTGCAGTTGTGCCAGGATTGGTGCTATACGCTCAAACCGTCTTCCCCTAGCGAGCCAGCTGGCTGCTGAATTCTGCACCAGCTGAACTTTCCGAACTGTCTCCAGAGGCAGCCCCACGTATGATGCATTGCAGTAATCTAACCCAGATCTTACATTTCCGATTACAGGCCACATCCACACGGTATATTTAAAGCCCTGTTGTACTGCTTTTAACAGTCATGGCCTCCCCCCTAAAGAATCCTGAGCAATGCAGTTTCAGTAAACT